TTTTTACTCCACTGTGATCTGAGAAGATGGATAGTATTATTTCAATCATTCGAAATTAGTTCACACTTGATTTATGATTGATGTCTATGTGCTTATGAGTAGGATGTATACTCTGTAGATGTTGGGTGAACTGTTCTGTAGATGTCTATTAAATTCATTTAATTGAGCGTTGAGTTGATTTTCAGGATCTCCTTGTTTGTTTTTGCTTCGATGGTCTAAGCTGTTAGTAGGGTATTTAGGTCTCCAACTATGATTGTGTGAGAGTCAATGTCCTCTCTTAGTTTACTTATTAATTGTTTTATAAAACCTGGTGTGCCTGTGTTGGGTGCATATATGTTTAGGATGGATATTTCTTGCTGGAGAATTGAGCCATTTATCATTATGTAGTGTCCTTTTTGACTTTTGATGGTTTGAAGACTTCTTTGTTGCATATCAGAATAACTACACCTGTCCCCTGCTGTTTTCTGTTTACCTGAAAGATCATTTTCTAACCTTCATCTTTGAGCCTGTGGGTGTCCTTTGCAGTGAGGTGAGTTTCCTGGAGGCAGCAGGTTGTGGGATTATGCTTTTTTGTCCAGTTTGCCACTGTGTCTCTTCAGTGGTATATTTAGACCATTTATGTTAAATTGATTATTGAAATGTGAGAATTTATCCCTGTCATATGGCTCTTATGGGTTGCTTTGTTTCCTTTATTCTTTTATATTTATATATGTGTGTGTTTCCATTTTTGTAAGTATTCTGTATGGTCTATTAACTCTGTGCTTGCCTGTACTTTTGTGATGGGTATAGCCATTACTTTTTTTTTTTTTCTGTGTTCAACATCTTAAGCATCTCCTAAAGAACTGGTCTGGAGGCAGCATATTCTCTTAGGGATTGGATATCTGGGAAGCATTTTAGTTCTTTACCAATGATGAAGCTTAACTTGGTGGGGTAAAAAATTCTTGACTAGAATTGCTTTTTTTTTTTGAGTTGGAGTCTCACTCGGTCACCCAGACTGGAGTGCAGTGGCCGCTTCCAGCCACCGCAGCCTCAACCTGCTGGGCTCCGGCGATCCTTCCACCTCAGCCTTACAAGTAGCCGGAAATACAGGCATACGCTACCATGCCCAACTGATTTTTTTATTTATTGTAGAGATGAGGTCTCGCTGCCCAGGCAGGTCTCGAACCCGCGGGCTCAGGCAATCCACTCACCTCAGCCTCCCAAAGCACGGGATTACAGGCTGAGCCACCGAGCCTGGGTGAATTGCTTATTTTTAAGAACATTAAAAATTTGACTAGACCCTTCTGGCTTGTAGTGTTTCTGCAAATATATCTGGAGCGATTCTGATGGGTCTTTCTCAGTAGATAGTCTGACCTCTCTCTTGCTGCCTTTATGATTTTTTCTGTCATGCTTATTTTGCAGAACCGAATTACTATGTGCTTGGAGGATGGTCTTCTCATATGATACTTTGTGGAGGTTCTTTGAATCTCTTGTGGTTGGATGTTTACCTCTTTAGCAAGATGTGGGAAATTTTCTGGGATGACCTCATGTAGTGCTTGTTCCATGGTGTTCTCTGTTCCTCTTTTTGCTTCAGAGATACCAATCAGGTGTAGATTTGACTTCATAACATAGTTCCACATCTCTTGGAGGCTTTGTGCTTTCTTTCTGAGCTGTTTTCTATGTTTTTGACAGACTGGTTAATTCCATATTTTGATTTTTCAGGCTCTGAGATTCTTTCTTCTGCCTGGTAGACCCTATGTTTGTTACTGTGTTCATAATTTCCAGGTTGAAGTTTTTCATTTTCATTATTTCAGAAATGACTTTTCTGAGATTTGCCAACTCTACTTTTACTTCCTGTATGACTTCAGAGAGTTTTGTTTCTTTTGTCTCTTGGTTTCTGTTTATTTTTGCCATCCAGTCTCTGATTTCTGTGGCTCTTATCTGGGGCAGCTCTTTCTGAGGGGTTTCCGTTGTTTATATTCTGATGGTTGCTTTTTTAGTCTTATGTCTTTAGGACTATGAAGTTTGCCTGTATATTTTCACCTTCACTGTCTATAATTTCTCTTTTGATTTGTTGCTCTGAAGTTATTCAGTTATTCTCTGTTCTTTTTTTTTTTGAGTTGGAGTCTCACTCTGTCACCCAGACTAGAGTGCCTCTACCTGCTGGGCTCCAGCGATCCTTCCACCTCAGCCTTCCAAGTAGCTGGAACTACAGGCATGCACTACCCTGCCCAGCTAATTTTATTGTAGAGATGAGGTCTCACCAAGTTCCCCAGCCGGGTCTCGGACCCGCATGCTCAGGCAGTCCACTCACCTCGGCCTTCCAAAGTGTTGGGATTACAGGTTGAGACACCCAGCCCAGCAGTTGTCCTCTGTTCTAGGGCCCTTTCTGTGGTTCAACACAGGTCACTCAGTGAGACGAGCATTCACTTCTGGTCCTTCCTCCACCTTGTGGCAGGTTTTTGTCACTGCAAATTTTCTCACCTGCTGCTAAATTAGTCAAAGCAACTTTCAGCCCCTACTGCTAGCACTCTGCTGAGGGAGGGGGAGGCAGAGGGGTGGGGAAAAAGTGGTGGAGGTTAGGAGGCAATAGGTCTTTCATCTGCTGTCTGTGGTTTACACCAGGAACCTTCCCATTGAGAAAGCCTTTGGGTATCTTTCATGTTGCTCTGTCCCTGTTCAGGTCTGCACTCTGCTCTTGTAATAGACCAAGTTCCCTGCCGCAGAGTAGGAGATGGGCTCTTCCCTCCAGGGATGCAGGACTTCGAGGTGGTTCTTCCTGATCTGACTGAGAATATAGCCACCAGTTGCAGGTAGTAAGCATCAGCCGAGTTCACTCTACAGGTGGGCTTTCCCTGCCTATGTGTTGGGCAGCCGGAGTTGTGCTCATGGTGGCTGACCTAGTGCAGGTATTTTTTTTCCTGTTTCACTTGGGCTATGGTTTCCCACCACTGTGCCCTACCTAGGATATACACATGGGACCAATGACCCATGTATGGCTGGGAGGGGCTGAACCATTGCAAAGCATCTTTGTCTCACTCATCCACTTTCATTCACCAGGCAAGTCTTCGGTTCTTGTGAGAGCCTGGTACATGGCTAGGAATGGGGCACCCAAAATCCCACATCTGCCATTGCTTTCTGGTCTCTATGTGCTCAGAGAGACTTTTGCTGTGTGCAGGTCTTTCACATGTCCAAAAGTATTTGAGATGTCTCTGTCTATAAACAGCTGGGGCCCTCCCTGCTCTCTACTTTGCTCATAGAAAGAGAGAGACACCAGTCTGCTGCTCCACAGTGGCCATGTTGGAGACTTCTTTGTTCCTGTTCTTAACAAGAATGCTTTCAGTGTTTACTTGATCAGTATGATGTTGGCTGTGAGTTGCTCATAGATGACTCATCATTTTGCAGGATGTTCCTTTTATGACTAGTTTTTTTTAAAATCATAAAGCAATGTTGGATTTTATCAAATGCTTTTGCTGCATGTGTTGAGGTGATCATATGGTATTGTTTCCTAGATTTTGGGGGGGGGGTCAGATTCTTACTTTGTTGTGAGTGTAGTGGCTTGCTGGGCTCAGGGGATGTTTCTGCCTTAGCCTTCCAAGTAGCTGGAACCACAGCTGTGTACCACCACACTGGGCTAGTTTTTTCATTTAATGTAGAGATGAGATCTCACCAAGTTGCCCAGACAATCATCTCATCTCCACCTCTCAAAGTTGTGGGATTACAAACGTGAACTACCACACCTGACTCCTAAGTTATTAAGACTTACCTCTTTTTTTTTTTTTTTTTTTTTTTTTTTTTTAGTCAGAGATTCATTTAGTTGCCCAGGCTGGAGTGCAGTCACACCATCACGGCCACTGCAGCCTTGACCTGCTGGGCTCAGGTAATCCTTCTAAGTAGCCAGAAATATAGGCATGCACCATCATGCCTGGCTTTTTTTCTTTTTAATAGAGATGAGGACTCCCCAAGTTTCCCAGGCTGGTCTTAAACTCTGGGACTCAGGCCATTCTTTCACCTCTGTCTCCCAAAGTGTTGGGATTACAGGCTAGAGTCACTCCACCTGGCCAAGACCTAACTTTTTGACCTTATTTCTTAGTAATCAATCCAGCCCCACTGATTTTCTTGCTCGTATCAGGCATGTCCTCCACCATACCTCCTAGGATCTTTGCATTTATTTTTTTCTCACATGTTTCTGTGACTTAGTATTTATGAACTTTACTAAGGTCTTCATGTCTATACTAAGATGTTGTCTTCTCCATGAGGCTTCTACTTGGGTATCTCATTTAAAATTTTAACTTCCTCCTGGCATTCCCTTCCCATTTCTCCCCCCAGCACTTCCTATCTCCCTTCTTGCTTTATTTCTTCCCATGTTACTTAACATCCTTTAACATGCTCTTTATTTTTCTTATTTATCTTGGTGTATGTATTTTAAATTTATTTCTCCTTACAAGAACATACATTTTACTACAATATAAAGTCCACAATGGAAGGAATTTATTCATTTATCTTTCCTGATTTATGTATCTATCCCCAGAATAAATGAAACAATGAAGAAGGAGTATTAGAGCTAGAATTTGAATCTAGTTCTGTTTTACCTTCTAAATTAACTAGGCTGCTATTTGGTTTATGTGTTTATAATTTTGTTTTATATACATGCACACTCCTACACCACCTCCACTCCTACTCAAAAGCCTTTCAAATTGATAAAGTCTTGTAAATTTTATGCATGTATAATGAACAATATATTGTTTATTGTTAATTATGTTTGAACATATATTAACAATATATTCTTGATATATTTAATATTTAATCTTGCCAGTGATAATGATTACTACATTCTTAAATATACCTTCAAATATAGTTGTGATACATGTTTATTTTATTACTTTTATAAAAAGTTGTATGTGTGTGTAATACTATGTTTACTATGCTACTGTATTCTGCTACTATATATTATATTCATATGTCTCTGTGTATATATATATATATAAAATTATAGATATATATAATTTTTTTTAAAACAGGTTATCAGGACATCCCATGGGAGAGACTTGGATGACTCTATAGAAAGATGTGAAGAATATTTGAGCCCAAGATCATGTAGCAAGCCCCGACATTCTGCAAGGACCTTACTAGTTCATTCAGCACCTTCAACAATGCCAAAGCATTCTCCAAGCCCTGTGTTAAACAGAGCTTCTCTCAGGGAAAGGTAATGTGTAGTATCTGTTTGTGTACTAGTCTTCTGCATAATAAGTGTTAAAAAGAAATCAGCAATTATGCATGTGGAGTGAATATTTGTAAAAGTATAATTTGGTTTTTAAGAGGCTAACTTAAATTGCTTTTGTTTAGAACCTATTGCATATTACACAGAGTTAGATATTTCTTCTTGGCTCAGTTTTCTAGAAGTGAGAAAACTCATTTATTAACCAGGTAAGGGTCATATTACTCCAAATTAAATACTTTAGATCTTAAAAGAGAATAGTAAAGTATATGATAGTTTGTTTTTAGTAGATTCAAAGGAATTTAATATTATTGGCATGTCTTAAATATAAAAATAGTATAGATTACATTTCTCATTTAGTCATCATGGTGATCTATATATTATTGTTAGATGATATCTAGTTTTCTCAAACTAGAGATGATATCATCTCCTCCAACTCCCTAAGAGAATCTTAATCATGTAAAGATTCCAGCACCCTCTCTAAAAATGCTTTGGCAACCAAAGTCATATTTCTAAGTCTATATTGGAAATTCTTTGCCTTTGTCAAAAATAGTAACATAGAAAGCTATGTTTTTCTAATAAATTGAAAAAAATCAACCCTGGTTAAAAAATATAGAGAGAGTTTTATATTCTGTAAGTAAGATGAATTATCAACAACTTGGAAATCAATTTGTCTTTACAACTGGTATCAAAAAGCTGAAGTAATAACATTAAATTTCTATAGTGTATTAGGGCCATCAAACATAATTAACAAAGATGTAATTAACTGTAGAGAGTGTATCATAAGTTTAACTCAAAACTAATGATTTGAACATGAGTGTGGTAGTTTGAATCATTGTATCATTGATATTGGCCTCTGTGTGCTCACATACATAGACATACCAGGCCTGACAGTTAAGTTTGCAAATTCATCTTAGAAAGAGTGCTACATACCTCATTGCTGATTATCGCTATGGTCATCTTCAAAGTACTCTTTTTGGGAAACTATGCACTGACCCCAGCACCCATCATCCAACCGATTTTGCAACTCTTTCTGGAATGACCATGAGAGCTGTCATCACGAGAATGTCAGAGTTTGAATTAGAGTAATGAACAAACATTTAATTTCCTGTTAAACTTGGCAAGAGTAGAAGGAAAATCAGGGACACATTAGTCCAAGTATGTGGGGATAAAGTCATGAAGAAAATGTCAGTGTATTAATCGTTTTTCTGAAAGGAGAGAAAGCATCACTGATGAATAGAGATCAGAATGGCCAGTAATGAGCAGAACTGATGAAAACATTGCAGAAATTTGTTGAATTGTACATCAAAATTATCAGCTAGCTGTGAGAAGCATAGCAGCCAAATACACATTGATAGAGAAACAGTTAAAAAATCTTAACCGAAAATCTTGGCATGAGAAAAGTATGTGTAAAAATGGTCCCGAAGGAGCTCTTGCATCATGACAATGCCCCACCTCACACAGTACTGTCTTTGAGGAAGTTTATAGCCAGTAAACAAATAACTGCATTAGAACATCCCCCTGCTCAACTGGTCTGGCCCCCAGTGACATTTTTCTTTACCCGAAAATAAAGCAAATATTGAAAGGAAGACATTTTGATGACATTCAGTACATCGAGGGTAATACAATGACAATTCCGATGGCCATTCCAGAAAAAAGTTCCAAAATTGCTTTGATGGGTGAGCTAAGCACTGGTGTTGGTGCATAGCTTCCCCAGGGGGAGTACTTCAAAGGTGACCATAGTGCTATTCAGCAATGAGATATGTAGCACCTTTTCTAGGATGAGTTCATGAACTTAATTGTCAGATCTCATGTGTTTGTGTATATATATGTATATACACAAACATACACACACACACACACTTTATTTTTTGAAAGTAGGATTTATTGAGAGGTCATTAAAGCTCTCATAGTGGGAGGGGACCCGAGGGTGTTGCTCAATACACACTTTAAAAGTTCAAGAGAAACTCTTTAAGAGAGATTCTTCTGCAAGCTCTTATGGTTTTATTGTAGATAAATTTTTTTGCTAAAAGGAAATAAGCTATTCTAATATTAAACATTACCTATTTTACCTATAACTTGAGAAAGGTTAGGTTCTTGTTTAGTTTGGGATTTAGCTAAATAAATTAATTTACATAAATTAAAAAGCTAATGAAAATTTTATTGGTGTACTATCTAGGTTAGGCATGATAGATAAACTTTTCTACTTTTAATAAGGCAGAACACCTCTGTTTTGAGTGTATTTTCTAAAAAACAGATCTAGATTCTATAAAGAAAATAAAATTTATTTAAGTCATATTACTAGCAACAAAAATATTTTATTCTTTTCAACACTTACTACCATGTCTTTAAATATAAGACATTCTGTGATCTGGGCTCTTTCTAAAAAGAGAGTGTTGGCCAGGCTCGGTGGCTCAGCCTGTAATCCCGTGCTTTGGGAGGCTCAGGTGAGTGAATTACCTGAGCCCACAGGTTCGAGACCCGCCTGGGCAACTTGGCAAGACCTCATCTCTACAATAAATTTAAAAAATCAGCCGGTTGTTGTAGCGCGTGCCTGTAATTCCGGCTACATGGAAGGCTGAGGCAGAAGGATCGCCGGAGCCCAGCAGGTTGGAGGCTGCGGTGGCCGGGAGCGGCCACTGCACTCCAGTCTGGGCCACAGAGTGAGACTCCAACTCAAAAAAAACAAAAAATAAATAAAAAATAAAATAAATAAAAAGAGAGAGTTTACACAATCCACTGAGATCAGTAAACAATTTAAACTGATGTAAATGTAGATTGTATATCCCAGGCAAAACGTTTTGCCTAGATGCTGTAGTACAGAACATATAGCTTTAAGTGTATATTTGTGTAAATATCTATTGAAATTAAATATGTTCTCTCTAAGATTGTGGTAAAATACTGACTCCTTAATCATGTGGATGAATAAACAGATTTTTTAAAGTTTTACCAGTAACTTTAAGCAATGAATTCCTGTATTTATAGTGAAAGTGTTTTTTGCTTTGAACTCATTTTAAAAATTCCTCCAATACAGTTAGCATACCATAAAAATTGTTTCAATTTTGATTATAATTGTTATATTTCAGAAGCAGTTTTCTTTGCAATGTATAAATATTAACATGTTTTAAAATTTGTATTAGGTGTTAGAGTTATTACTAAAATTCATCTAAGAAATCCTAGTAAATATAATCAAAATGGAGCTGATATTATTTTGAATCATTCTTAAAGTTTTGACTTTTATGAATAGAGTTAGTGATTGGTAGGCAAGCATTCCTTATACCACAGCACAGACTAGTGGATCCTCTAATAGTGTCATTGAAGCGATTCAGTGGATCCTTGGAGGTACATAATTGGGTCTCAGATTTTCAAGATGTGCTATTTGTATTGCACATAACAAAGTCTCCCAATATATTTGCCGTAAGTACAATAAAACTTGCTCTTACACATGCAGAAGACTAAAATTTAGGTATAGTTGATTGTGTTTATACTTTGTATAAAATATGTAAAATTGTAGCTTTTAAGAACAAACTGGGGAGCAAAAAAGAAAGAGTTAAGCAACATATCAGCATTTTACCTATTTCTTTATAAAGAAATTGTCAGTAGGACTTCTTAGATATAATTGGATGGAAATTTTTATTATTACTTGTATGGAATAAAGTAGCTTAATTATACTAATATCAGTTTTGAATTTGGGAAAAGCATAAGAAAGAGGGGTAGATGCTTTGTTTCTTCTTTGACACATTTAATTTCAACTCTCGGTCTCTAATAAAAGTTATATTTTTCTTACCTATTTTTTAATATTTAAAAATTTTAAAAATGCATTATCTCATAGCAAAGACCAGAGAGGTGACATCATTTTGTGTTGAGAAGGGACCATTTAATTTGTTTCTCTGTATTCCTGAAAGGATAACATGATTGGATTCTAAATAATATTTTTATCTATTAACACATTTTGTTTCATTTTTCTAAAATAGTTTTATTTTTGTATGCAGAAAGGAATTTCATCCACACAGTTTGATAGTATGATTACTAGAATAAGAACTTTGTTGAGGCATTATACAAGGAATTATTTTTTAGTATGAAAATCTGTATCTTTAGTTAAAACTCTAAATAATTATTTATAAAAATCATTAAAATGGCCAGATATATTCTCCCAAATGTATGCCAAACTTTATTAAGACTACTTATTGAACACACTGTGAAAACTTAATACTATGGCTGAGAATCGGTACTTGATTTTATGTCTCCTACTCATCCTTAATCAAAGGAAGAAAATATGTTATTTTAACCTTATATACATTATCATATAGAGATAAGAAAAAAATGACTTTCCGTGTCTGGTATTTGAGAATTTAGAAAGATATCTTTTTCTCTCCATCTGTCTGCAAGTTATCTGTGTGTTTTTTGTTTTTTGTTTTTGTTTTTTTAATACCTACAGGTTTCATTCTGATTGGTGTTCACCTTCAAACTGTGATGAGATCCATGACCGGGTAACAAATGTCTTGAAATCACATCAGGCTCATCAAAGACCGTTATATGTTAGTTTCTAAAATTTTCTTTTAAAGGCTATTTATAATAGGACAAGAAAACCGAAGATACTTAAAGCTTGCAGTATTTAGTCACAGGAAAGAAAGAAAAAGAAAGCATCATCCATTTGATGAAAGTCAATGGTTTTGCTAAAAGCAGCAACATCTCTAAGCTTCCAACTTGGCCTGAGTCAAGTTTGACATAGATCAGCTGAACTATAAATGATGTTAGTGATAATTATCTTGTAAAGAGTCAGTATGTAGTGACCTTATATTTATTTCACATCCTTCAAAATATGAAAACTCTTGTTTTCTGGCCCAGTGTAAAGTAACTTTGCTACAAATAGATTTGATTCTAAATGGTAGCATGTATTGAGACGTATGCGTTTTGAAGATGCTTCCCAGCTAATTTGTATGTTAATTAAATATTTAAAATAGGAAAAGAGTATGTCAGGTTTATCACTTTTAATATTAGAGAACATCAAAATGAGAATATTTTCTGAGATAAGGCAGATAAACATTCACATGCATGACAGCTGGGAAATGACGGTACATTCTTTTGTGTTTGATTTCTTGTTTCATTCATTAGTTTTAAAAATAATCATTTATCAGTGTCATGTTGGAAACTAAGATTAATCTTGGGATATAACTAGATTATGTGACCTTGGGATCAGTTTTTAAAATTAAACTTGTTTTCAAAATATAATATACATGTAGAAAATGCAAAAATTTTAAGTAACAGCTTGATGAATTATAAAATTTAGCAGACTCATATAAACTATCTGCCAGATCAATAAACAAAACATCACTCTACAGAAACTCCTCTTGTTCCTGCCATCTATTGCCATTCTAAGTGTAAACATTATCCAACTTCTAACAAAATGTCATCAATCGTCTGACAGCAAAGATCAGTATTGCATGTTTTGAACTTTATATAAATGGCATCCTACAATTTCTACTTGTATTTTTTCTTTTTACTTGTTTTGCTTTGTTTTGCAGTACAATCATTTTTTCCAATTTAGACATGTTGTTTTATGTAGCAATAGGTCATTCTTGTTGCTGTATGGTATTTTATTGTATGAAAAATCTACCATTTATTTATTCATTCCACTGTTTTTGTGCTATTCTTGAACTGCTATGAGCAGTATGCACATGTTCTTGAGTGACATCGTATACATTTTATTTGGGTATGTACCATCCAGTGGAATTAATCAGAGAGAATGTGTACTACCGAACAATGTTACACATAGTTTTATAGTTACACTCCCACTGCCAGCGTGGGAGACTTCTGCTTGTTCCATTTCTTCACTGCTCCTTGGTTGATTATGTTTGTATGTGTATGTGTGCATGCATGCAGTTGTGTTTTAATTTTGTCATTTTAGTAAGTGAAAGGTAGTTTATCACATAGTAGTTTTAATTTGCTATTTCCTAATGACTAGTGAATATGCTTAGTGATCTTTTAGATATTCTGTTTAGCGAATGTTCATTCAAGTCATTTGTTCATTTTTTTTTAACTGGATTTTCTACCTTTCATTTTTGTTTACAATTTCCATGGAGATTCTTCATATCAGTTTTTAGTCAGATATATGTTTTACATTTTTCTTTCCCCACTGCATGTGTGACTTACCTTTTTACCCTCTTAATTATATCTTTTGATGAAAAGTAGATATTAATTCTAATGATTCCAGTTGATCACTTTTCCTTTTTTGATTAGCATTTTAACGTTTTAATCTATTTTAAGACTTCTATGTTTCCTTCTAAAGGCTTTTTTGCTTCCTTTAGTATTTAAATATATGATTTATTTGGAATTATTTTTTCTGTATAGTGCTAGCTAGGTGTACATTTCAAAAACAATTCAAGTTGTATGATTATAGATCTGTCTTTTTCTTTTTGGTTCTGTTAACTTTATTTTAAATATTTTGAAGCTATGTTATTGGTATATTTCAGGCAATGTTATGAACCTTTTATTGTAAAATGTTCCTCTTTATCTCTTAATATTCCCTGTTTCACAGCATGTTTTATCTGATATTAAGTAATATAGTTATAGCAGGTATTTTGGCTACTTATGCATTGTGTCTATTTTTTAATATTTTCCTTTTTATCATTATACTTAAAGGATGTATATTAAAGTAATACATGAGATTTTTGTTTTCAAGAATGAAAATCTTGTATTTTAAAGTAAGTTGCTATGTCTTATTTGTATTAATCCAGTTTTTAAAATAATTTATTTTCCTTTGAATTAAGTTGTTAGTCTTCATTTTAGTATTCTGTTGTTTGCCATGTTGATTTCAACATGCATACATGACAAATTATTTTTATGACTTTTAGAAAATGAAAACATGTAATTCTTTTTTACCTGACTTCTTTTGCATATCTTTGACCATGCAATTTTATTTTACATATACAACACAATAAATTATTTTTGTTCATCTAGTAACATTTATTCATTTTAATTACATTCTTGCTATTATTTGTAATCCTTTCTTGCTATTCTCTGTTTCCATATAGGCTTTAGAGTCATTTTCTGCCCAGAAGTACTCCCTTTAATGCTTCTTTTCATGTCCAACTCTTGGACAGAAATTCTGATTTTGTTTGAAAACATCTTGGTTTTACTTAACTTTATGAAGGTTAGTTTTACTGGATATAGAATTCTAGGTTAGTAGTAATTCTCTTTGGCATTTTAAAGAAGCCAATCTGTTGCCATTTGGCTTCTTTGTGTCTGTTGAAAGTTAGCTGTTATTTCTTTGAAATAATATGGATTTCTATACTCAAAATTGCATGTCAGATTTGCTTTTAGACTTAGTGTTTGGTAGGTTTACTCTGATATATCTACATGTGGTTTTAATGAATTAATTCTCCGTTAAGTTTGAAGAACTTGTGTCTTTCATTTGATTTGGAAAGTTCTTAGCTATTTCTTTAAACATTTCTTCTGCTTTTGTTTCTTTTTCTCTTTTTCTGTAACTCCAAGTTACACGCATATAAAATCTTTAGGTTGTGTCTCATATATATCTTATATTTGTATTTTTAATTCTTTTTCCTTTATTTGGATATTTTCTTTTAAGCCATTCTCTAGTTTGCTAATCCTATTTTCTGCTATGTTGGAATTAAAGTTAAAACTATTTGAAATGAACCAAATACTTGAAAGTATCAACTACCATAACTACTTCAAGAAGAAATCATCTCAGTGGTTGTATATCTATTAAAGAAATTGAATTTGTAGTTAAGAGCTTTTTCAAATAGGAAGTCCAAGCCCCAGATGATTTTTTTGGACAAATTCTACCAAAACTTTAAGGAAAACATAATACCAGGCTTGCATATCCCTGAAAACAGAAGAAGGGAAACTTTCCAAAGTCATTTTATGAAATCAACATTCATCCTAATGCTAAAACTCAACAACAGCATTATAAGAAAGCTACAGACCAATGCCTCTCATGAACTTATATGCAAAAAAATTCACAGTAACACATTAGCAATTCAAATCCAGCAATATATAAAAATGGAAATACATAATAATCAAGTAGACCCATTCTTGAAATCTTATCCTATTGACAGATTAAGTAAGAAAAAGCATATTCTCTGTGTAGTTTTAACAGACACAGAAAAAGCATCCAACAAAATTCAACTTTATTCATGATAAACACTATTAATAAAGTAGGGATAAAAGAGAACTTCATTTGAACATCTAAGAGAAACGTACAGCTAACATTATATTTAGTGATGAAAGACTGAGCACTTTTCCCCAAAGTTTAGAAACGGCATAGATGCCCTCTGTCACCATTCCCTTTCCATCATACTGGGAACCTTATAAGGCAAGAAAACTAGAAAACAAAGATTAGAAAGGAAGAAACAATATATTTGCAGAAAATATGATTATTTATGTAGAGACTTCTAAATCATCTTCAGAACGACTTGTAGAATTAATAAGTGAGTTTAGCAAGGTCACAGAATAGAAGGAAAATCAGTTTCCTTCCTATATACCTGCAATGAACAATTGGAATTGTAAATTAGAAACTCTATACCATTTACAAGAGCACCATTAATTGAAGTGCTTAACTAATATTCTATCAAAATATGTAAAAAAAAAAATTTTAAATCATGTAGGAGCAGCATGCTGAGAACTACAAAACTGTTGAAAGAAGACAAACAAGAGAAAAATAAGTGGAGTTACATATCGTATTCATGCACTAGAATATTCTGTATTTGAATCTCAATTTGATCTCTAGATCCAATGCAATCTTTATTAAAATTGTAGCATACTTTTAAATAAATATTGACAAGCTTATTCTAAAATGTATGTGAAAGGCAGAGGAACTTGAAAAATCAAAACAACTCTGGAAAAGAACAAACCTGGAAGGCTCACTACCTAGTTTTAAGATCTTTTTTTTTTTTTTTTTTTACTGTAAAGCACAGGAATGAAGACAATATAGTATTGACTAAATTATAGACTTATATATCAAAGGAATACACTAGAGATCCAAGGAATAGAACCACACAGATACCATTAACTGATTTCTACAAAAGTACAAAGTCAATTAAATGGAGATTTTGTATTTGTTATCATAGAGACTTTGTTATCTTTTCAACAAATGGTTCAAACTTCTAGAGGAAAATATAGCAGAAAAATCTATGTAATTTAAGTTTGGCAATGAGTTTTTACATATGACAACAAACATTCCATCCATTTTTTAAAAATGGGTAAATTCATTTGCTCTATTAAAACCACTGCCAATGGAATAGGAAGCCGGACACAATTTAGATGAAAATGTTTTAAAAATCACATATTTTATTAAGGACTTGTATTTGGAATTCAAAATCAACAACAGCGGCAACAAAAACACTTCATTTTAAAATGGGCAAAAGATCTGAACAGGCATTTCACCAAATACATGTTTTAAATGCCGAATGATCATCATGGAAATGCAAATTAAAACCACAATGAGCTACCACTGTGCCTATAAAAGTTA